TTTATATAGTGCTCTGCGAACACAAATTAGTTAGCATAAATCAGTTAAATGACAAAAAATTAGGTGTCTATTTACTTGTGACCACTCAGTGTACTCAACCTCTTTATTTATCTTTTAAGCTCACCTCTTTTTTCTTTTTTTTTCAAAATGTCCATGCATACAAATTATATAGGTGTAAAGTAGAATATTTGTGAAAGAAGCAGCTAAATTCCTTTCACTCTGATCATTTATTGTTGTGGGTCATTTCCCTTTGGTATCACGAACACTTTCATGTGGGAAAGGTTGCTGTAAAGTGGAACACAGTATATAAAAGTAGACAGCAATCTTTTTCCAATGGTGGATCAGGAAACACCTATTTTCGATTGGAATAACCAACAGTGACATAGCTAACAGTCGCGACCTGAGAAGAGTAGCATTGTAAAAGTGAATATATAATGCTTTGTTTTCTCAGTCTGAAATAGGTCTTTCTGAGAGTTCTCAAACTCTAGTAAAGGCTCTGTCCTACATTATAAGTCTTCATTTTAATTGTGATTTGTGTACTAAGTAAAGGTTGTTTTCACACACATATTTCACATTGTGTCCATTGTGCGGGGAATCGAACTTCGTACTTTAGTGTTGTAAGCCCGTAAACTTACCGCTGTCCCACCGAGAGACCGAAATAATAAAACAATTCTGTAAGTATCTGAAAATCTCGATGGCTTTGAACATACTGACACACACACATTAGTTACTATTATTGCTGGTTTCTAGATAATTACAGCCGATAGTTTACAAATTATTATTTTTTAAATATTTAAAATATTTCTCGATACATTAAATCATGATAGATATCATAGTTTTCAAACACAAAAATGTTTATCTTTTGTTAGCATTTTCTCCATCTTCAGATACCAATACTTGGAGCTTTCCTATAAAGAATAGCAGTCATAAAGCACTGACATTTCCATTGTAAGATTTCATTGTCAGTCCACTATCTTGCTATCCTAAGTCCACCTTCTTTCATCACTGTTGGTTCTCTGGTATTATGGTGTTACTGTTCCTTTACAGCAGTCCCTATCCTGAGCCCCTCCCCTAAATATAACCATTTTTCCTCACGCTCCCTCTCCCACCCCCATCTGAGCGACAATGCTCACAACAGAGTGTTATTTATCTATAAAAAGTTCCTAAACATTGAAACGTAGCTCATAAAGGTATTCTCAACTTTCTAAATTCAATGAGAAGTTGGGCCTGCGTTATGAAAAGGTATTTTATTACTATTCGCTTGTTTATGTTGCTCATCCTTTTTCTTTCCTAAAATGCAAACTTGAGAAAGTATATATATATGTATATATAAGCCGATAATCTTCTCACCTCCTTACAGGGCGATCGCTTTATTTCAAGGCTGTTCTAAGATATCCCACATCCCCATTCGGCGACACTGTGACATCCGGGGGGGGGGGGGGCACAGGTTAGAAACCACTGTCTATTGATATGATAAGGTTGCTGTTTCTGCTTATATGGTAGGTCTAGTGTTCCTACAGATATGATAGGCTTACTCTTTCCACTTATATGATAGTATTACTGGTCCTTTATTGATATGATAGGATTGCTGTTTCTGCTGATATGATAGGGTTATTGTACCTACTATCATGATAGGGTTATTGTACCTACTATCATAATAGGGTTACTCTTTCTACTATGTTAGGATTACTAGATTTTTTATTGATATGGTAGGATTATTGTCCCTGCTGATAGTACAGGATTACTCTTTCTACTGATACCATAGGATTACTGCTCCTTTATTGATATGAAAGAATTACTGTTTCTGTGTTTATACGATGGAATTAAACACACAACTGGGTGTTACTAGGATTTTCACTAGCACTATAATGTTTTCATGCACAACTCCAACAACTTTATAGAATGGTTTTGTCGGTAGTGTTTGCATTCGTGAAAACGTTCTTAGTAATGAATGTACCTAGTTTGATGAGACAAAGTTTCTTAATCCGCCCGTTTAAAAACTCAGAGTCGTTGAAATTGACATACGTTTTTGAAATCATCTCAATCGTGTTGAAATAATTCGGACTTCATGACAGAGCTCAGTAAAATATTTCTGAATATTTTCATAACTTTTTAGATTACTTTCAAAAGCCAGTATGCATATATACATTCATCCATATATATATATATATGCTGCATAGACTCGCAGTTGTATAGCTACATTTTATTGCTTTCATCAAGAATTCAATAGGATACTACTAACATAAACAAATGTGCAGACTTGTGTCCCTTGTTGGTTTGTAGAATTTTATTTCTACTTTGCAACAGCACAAAATAGCTGACTGACTGGCACGTCTAATCTGTTAGTAATCACAAGCTAATCAAGTTACGTCCTTTTATAATCAGTTTTTCAGCAGAGTACTGAAAACACCCTTTGCATTAGCAACCGGCGCTTGAAACCCCAACAAATAATACAAAACATTAAGGTTAAGATCTGTTACCACTGCATTTACTTAGATATCCCCCAGATGATGCCTGGATAACTTTCCTGCTTAAAATTCGTTTCCTTAGTGTGAATAGTGAAATTCTGTACACTTATTCCCTTATCGTTTGACGTGTCTTTCATAGTTTTGAATTAATTTTTCAACTCTAATCTGATCTTTAGGTTTAAACGATACTTTTTGTTAAGGGCATTCTGTTGTGTTCAGACATTCTCTTCGCTGCTTTTAAAATCGAATAAATGATGTATTTTTTTGTAGTTAGGCACAAAGCTACGCAATGGGCTACCTATGTGACTATCAAAACCAGATTTTTTTAGCATTATAAACTCTCAGACTTACAGTTGAGCCAAAGTTAGAAGTAAATGGTGTAACATAATATCATTATATACATTTTAACTCTTTGAAATTCTCATTTGCATGCAACTAAACTGAAAAATACTTTGACAGCATTATTATAAAAACAGTCGTATCACAAATAAATTTAACCTTGGAAGAGGAGGCAACGGCCCTCTTTTTCTTTTATCTTTTCTATTCATTTCTTGTCGCTTTCACATATTGCTGTTATAAATCATACAAAAATGTATACAAAGCGATCCTAAAGTCAACATTAAGGCAATCACTTGTTAACGATCTCGCTTTATTATCCATTCATTGCAAAGTCCCAATTTTGCCTGAAGAAGTCATTGAAATATGAGATAGGAAACATCTTCGCTACTTAAAACCTTTAAACTAGCTCATTGTCTTTTCAAGAGGTTAACACCTCTAAGGTTAAACTGTAGCCTTACGTACTAAGCAGGACAGAGAGAATGAAATGAAACTTTCTCTTTACGGTTATTCACGTAACAAAAGAGAGGTTAGTAATAAGAGCCAATCGTATTTTGTGAAAAACGATATTTGACATCCACATTTTGCGTTTGTATCCGAGATATTACGTCTACCTAAGGCAATAAAATTAAGTAAAAACGGAATGTAAAATTCATTATTTTAACATGTTTCCTACAACACCAAGATGAACTACATTTTCACAAATCCCTTCTTGTAACATATAACCATTTGTATAATATTCTAGAACTGGAGAGATATTAACCTCAAGTATTTGCTAAAAGACGGAAACACAGAAGGTAGAGAGAAGAAAAGCTGAATTAATATGAGTTGAAGGGGTAAAACAACGTCATTATGTAACATCACACGTTTTCTTGAAATTCGCCATATTATGTGTAAACGGACCATGCATGTTAATTAACGGCGATCACACACTTTGTCATAATCACGAAAATAATTTATGCTTGTCTCAGCGTATTCGTTAAGTAAGAATCACAACAAAATTATATAAAGTAGCGCAACAGTTGCTTTTATTTCAGACTTTTCTAAATTTTCTATACTTCAAGCTATAAACATTATTTTCATATTAACATTTATTTTCGCTTAATATTTACATATTGTTTTTGGTTTCTAGGCTAAATATGATTAGGTTTGCGTTTATTTATTGTAAACTCGTGTGTAGCTCTACTTCATGTAAAAAAAAAAAATTAAACCTTGAAAAGTCTCAGTCACTGTTTCACCATCTATGCTGACCCAAGAGAAAACAAGCGTATGTAAGACATTTACCTTATAATGCTTTCTGACACATTATTTCACAGGTGAGAGAAGAATACGACTATAAAAAGAACAGCATGATATCGACCTATTGTGTTATTGATCCAGTGTAATGTTGAGCTCACTATACATTAGTTCAACTTTGCATCATTCTTTAAAGCTTTTTTATTCTGCTTTAACTCTCATCCATTTTCTATTTTCTTGTTTTAAGAAAAGGATTATGTAAAGAATTTGAATTATTGGAAGAAAATAAAGGGAACAAAATACACCTGATAGTACCAATGGCTAGTTTTCGTCAAACAAGTGAAGTTAACAACTAAAGAAATGTTGTACAAGGATTTCTGATAACTTCATGGTTATAACAGCAACAACAAAAATCACTACTTTAACATGGAAGATAGACATTGGATAAAACCAGAAAAGAACAAGTAAAAACATGTTAAATAATTACTAATTTGTACACTATGTGATATTTCGCGGCTTTAACGTTTACATTACTTTCTGGCAAAATTATTATTACTGATGCGGTGAGATAAATTATTTCATTAAACTATATCAAAAAACCATGTTCTAGGTTCAGATGTGTATAATGTCATACACATGCGTGAAAAAAGTGATAGCAATCTTGAATCACAGTTTACATTTTCAGTTTGTCGTCCAGATGAGACTTTGTAGATATTTCTGCTCAACAACAAGGTAGAATATTTTTTCTTTATTTTTATCAACGGCAATCATTTTAAAAGGAGGTTTTAGAATAAACTGTGTTACACATGATCAAACAAAATATTGGGAAGTTTCTACTAATGCAGTCATTAGCTATCTGTTTTGAACGACCATTTACAGGTAGTGATTACACAAGCCGATAAATAGCAAACACATAGAAATTAGAAATTATATAACAGGGATCGAGAAATATGAACTTACCTCTGAATCCTCCTCTGCCGAAACGCTCATGATGTCACTGAAACAAGTAGTGTTTTCTTTTCGAACAGCTAACAACAGAGAATTCTAGGGCGGCACCCATAAGGCCGGGTTCAGGATGATCTTTCCACCAGCAACACTTCAGTGGCACTGGCGCCACGATAGTTCCTTCAAAACGTGAAAGCAGGAAAAACTGACAGTTCGAGTGTTACCATGACAACATTGTGAATTAAATATCGAAATATAGCAGAAGTTTTAGAATAATCAATAAGAGAAAAAAACAAAAAAACTTGGATTTCTCCTAAATTCTGTCTGAGTAAAAACATTTATTATCTCCAATCTAATATACAACTTTATTTATTCCAATCAAATGAAAGGTGACTCTAACAATAAAGTATTAACCAAATATTTTCCCAAACAAATATTTAGCGCCATCTATGGCTTGGTTAAATTACTATAATGTACCATTCCTTCTTGCGATTTCAAAGACGGGTGTTCCCAAGTCAAATATGAACTTTTTTTTAATTACAAATTTTAGATTAGGTAAATTAAAACGTACAAACGCAGAAGGGAAAGTTAAAAAAAACTGCTGTAATTCATCAAATATATAATTCGTTAAAAAATCTTGTTTCCCAAGGCAGAGAAATATTTTTATTATTTAATAGAACAATGGTCAGTTACAACAGAATCAGCTAAAAAACAGTTGTGTAGGTTTCAAAATATAACTCTTACTTTAAAAGTTATTGTAAAAAAATTCATAAAAGTTTGAAAGATAGTTTTTTTTCATCGTCTGCAGATGAAGAGAAGGTAAAAATATCGCTATAACAAAAGACTGCTAGATATTTTTATTTCTTCCAAAAAAGGATTCTTTTTGATTGGTCTGTAATTATTTTTCTCTTAACTTTAGTGAGTTAACTGAAAGTGTTTTTTCTAGAAAAAATGACGTTTCGTAGTGAAGTTGCGGATTGTGGAAATTTGGTATATTGTTACTTCTCGGGATAAAAGCATTATTTTTATTCTTGGGGAATGTATTTATTCTTCATTTTGTTTTACATTACGAAACAGTCATTAAACACAAACACTCCCGAAACACTTTCACGACAAATGAGTTTAGAATTTTTTTCCATGCACTGAAAAAACTATTTGTTTAGGAAGATACATAAAGTTATTATGATTATATCCGAGATGGAAATGATGGATTGTAGATAACATACCATATTACTGCGACTGTAGCTGAGTCTTTTTTTCTTTTCACTTTCTGATGGTTGCAGGTTTGCAAAAATGTGAGACATCAATGACAAAACAATACAGTGAGGATTGAACATCTGGTGTCTTAATACAAATTCTTACAGCGCACAACCGCATGCACTGACGTATTTTTGTATCACATACACTTTCGAGTAAATTCATTCATTAAGGCAGTAATAGCTCTGCCACCACAGAGACCACTTCAAAGGAGTAAATTTACACCATTATACGTCTTGAAGTGTGTACAAATTCTATTATTCCTCTAAAGTAATCCTCTAAGTACTCCTCCAAAAATACAAGTTCATGCTCTGTAAAGCTTAAGATTTTCTGACGATAGCAGAGCTGTACTCCGATAATAATAATATGTAAAAAATAAAAATACCTATTGCAATGTTTGTGGAATTGGATTATAAAAAATGATAAAATACAGTACTACTCAATATGAAATTGTATTATATTTCCGTCAAAGATACACCAAAAATATAATGAAGTTTACATTTTCTACCTTGAATCAAAACAAAAAACTTAAAAACACTATATACAATTTATAAACAAATTGATCTTATGCTGTATAATACATTTTCAAAAAAGCTTAAAATTATTACGTACATTTATTTGCATCATACATGGACTTTAGGAATACCATTTTTAGATAAGGTTCTGTTCTTGGTGTGAATTTCAAACAGGCAACAACATCTATTTCAGTCATTGTGCGAAACATTTTCTTGCTTTAATACATATTAAAATCACAGTAAACATAATATAAACATGTATAGACACTAGTTAAGTCCAAAGTTTCTTTTCCTACAGATAGCTTTAACTCCTTCCTTAAGAAAACATTTTCTTGCTTTAACACATATTAAAACCACAGTAAACATAATATGAACATGTATAAGACACTAGTTATGTCCAAAGTTTATTTTCCTACAGATAGCTTTAACTCATTCCTTAAGAAAACATTTTCTTGCTTTAACACATATTAAAACCACAGTAAACATAATATAAACATGTATAGACCCTTGTTAAGTCCAAAGTTTCTTTTCCTACAGATAGCTTTAACTCCTTCCTTAAGAAAACATTTTCCTTTGTATACGATAAAATTAGGGTGAATTGTATATCTGGGTCCTATAATAAAAATATATTCATCATATTTAACAAGTTTATGCTGTTGCAACACACATTTCTAACATGGAAATTTACATTGAAATATTCTGTATGCAGATAAATCTCATATTTTATAACAGGAATATTTTCCTCACATTAATCTTAATTTTTCAAACTAAAATTATTTCATTACAGTAAACAGATATTGTAGCTAAAACCTATAGACATCTTCAGTATAAACTCAATTTTTCAAAGAATAATTTTACAGCTCATCTCCTTACAGTTTATTATAGTATACATATTGTTGGTATATAGGCTTTCATTGTAAATATTAGGTACATAAGTTACAGTACATTTTCAGCTAGAATCATTCCACTGATATCATTATTCATGAACCATGTTGTCAAATAGTAAAAGAGATGTAGATCCCAGATTACCTATAGAAGCAGAAAATATTACAACTCTGTGTTACAAATTCTATAAATCAGGAAAACAGGTTGAGTTGAGCACACTATATATACAAAACTGTATTCACACCAAGAAGTTCAAGATGTTTCAAGTCAGAATATAAATTTGAACACATTGAATTATATATGCAGAAATAGGCAAACCACATATTAGCTAGAAGTATCAAATACATATAAAGTGGTTAACATATTTATTTGATAAAAATGAATAAAAGAAATGTTGCTGACCTATTTCCGATACAGTGAGCTAATGATGGATATTCTTTCCATTAGTGTTGCAGATATTACCACATGCAATCCAGAACACCTAAAGTGTAGGAACTAAACAAGTTCATCACAATTTATAACACTTGCACAACTACACATGGTTAATTACGAAATCACTTAGAAAGACTATTACATTAGTTTGAAGCATCCAGCAATGCATTTAAAATGTTACCTTACTCAAAGTGTTGACGAGGTTTTAGTCTGTAATACCTAATTTTTTAAAGGAAGAATTTTAAAATGATGTTTTATCAATAACTTCTAAACAAAGAAAGCAAAATTTATAGGTCAGAACTAAAAAATTATTTAGTAAATAAAGTTGTTAATTCTATATATTTGTCTATTTTCGACCTTCCCCCGTCTTTTCTGATGGTGTTACTTAATCCGATTTTGTAGTTTGTATTTGACCAAAGATTAAAATTTGGTGTTTAAATGACTTGACAAAGATGCTTATACTTTCACATAAATAGCATATGAGAAAGTAAGTAACACGCCCTGTAATTTGTATATAAAGGGAAGAAAATCAACGCATGTCAAAGAAAATGCTGTAGTTACCATGACGACATAGAAAATTATTCAAGTTTTTAAAGATCTTCAACGAATTATGATTTTGGACAAAACCCAAGGTTCAATATATCGACCACTAGGGACCGCTACAGTATAAAAATATCACTTAAACAATGTAAAACTGATGAGCTACCGAATTTCGTAGACTGAAACAACTCTGGACTAGAGTATTCGAGAAAACCTAATCTGTTGGAAAGGTTGCCGCTGATGTTACTTCAAGGTTTTTTATAAGATTTGTGAGCCAATTTGTATCACAAATTAATGTTTCTAAATTACTCAAAGATATTTCAACCTAGTGGTCATGATAAAAGTAATTATATTTTTTTATGGTTAAGACTTAAAAAACACACAAGTTAATTTTAAAGCACAGAAAAAAGGTAAGTAAGTTTATACAATTTATTACACCCACGTTTCGAAATTGAATATCCCAATTCTTAAAACGTGGTTAGATAAGAACTCTTAAGCGTAGACTTACAACAAATTCAACAATGTTTCCATCAACGAATGTTTATGGCAGTTTGGTGTAAATATGACATAACTGATTGTTTATCAAAGTGTATGCAAAAACTAAACCGCTCAAATAAATTGTATAAACTTACTTGGTCCAAAACTGACAACATGTATGATATAAGATTGTATCTGAATTAATCAAATTCCTCACTAATTCACGGTTGTATAATTACTTGACATGATATATGCAAACATAAATCTCAAAGCAATGTATTAGCTCAACTAAGCTAATGTTTAATGAGAAGATTTTTTTTAGTTGAATTATACTTTTGTATTTTTGACACTTTTCGACAAGAAACTTAAACTATCACACAAGAGTTACAAACTAAACACAACTACGTGCAAGTTGATACTTACTTGTAATGTAGAATTATCTTATTAATTGCCCAACATAACAATACTAAGACACAATTAAGTCAATTAAATGCTCAGTTAGTAAAGGTTTAACAACAACAAAAACAGGGCTGTATTAAATTAACTTATCCATAAAAATAAATCTTTAACTTCGATCAACTGTAACCGTTGTGATACATCTTAAATTTTCTTCACGAATCTGAACTTTCTGTATATAATGAAATGTTACACTTCTTTTCCCATAGAATTTTTATGTAATAATAGATACCAATAAACCTCTCGAAATTTCCTGATATTCAGGAACTTGTTATGCATGGCAATAGTTTCCAAATCTTTCGAGTACTTTCTCCAATTATAGCTTGGAATTCTCGTTTTTAATGCCTCCCCCCTCCCCCACCATCACCACCAAGTCGATTAAAAAGTTTGTAAAGGTAAACAACAGTAAGATGAAACATTATTTACGCCTGTATATAAATTAAAAACAAAGGACTAACAAATGCTTCTTTTAAGTGATTTCTTGTACAGTAAATTCCATGAAACATAAACACTAATAAAATTAAGTGTGAGCAAATATTCCACAATGAGGGAGTTGATTTTTATGCAGTAATGTATTT